TTATGCCTGTGCTCAGCTACCTCTACCGTTCCATCTCCCTCTCTCTCATTGCCTTAGTTTGTTTGTGTTGCTTTGCTGCATTTGTACTTTTTTTTTGTGTTGTTATTTTTTGTATATTTTTATTATGGCAGCAGACACACGCAGTTTATTTATTGTGCCTGTATTTTCTTTTGGTCTTTTTGGAGTTTTCCATCTCATTCGCTCCCTCTCTCTCTCTCTCTCTCTCTCTCTCTCTCTCTCTCTCTCTCTCTCTCTCTCTCTCTCTCTCTCTCTCTCTCTCTGTTTCTTCAGCTTGGCATTTATTTATATTCGCTTCCTGTGTTTTCGCCGCTTGCGTTGTCGGCGCATTTATAAATATAAATGAGTTTTGCTCGATGAAGGTTAAATTGAAATTTACTTTGTGCACAGCCATGGGTTCCCATTTTTTTTTTTTTTAAGAGGCAGTCAACCAGCCAGGACACGCAGTCCTTTCGCATTTATATATACCCATTTATACATACATAAATAAATGTGTGTGTGTGTGTGTGTGTGTATATGTATTTGCACATCTTTATGTGTGCTGTGCATGATGGAAACCTGCTGCTGAAAAGTTTTAGACCTCTGCATTTCCGCCTTTATGACTTCCCCCCAATTCATTTCACCATTCGCTTTCTTTTCTTGTGGTTTCATTTTAATTTTGATAAGCAAATGCGGCGCATCCTTTTTCAGACTGTTTCTTCTTCTTGTTCGCTTCGAACGTCTTCTTTTCGTTTTGGGTGTGAAAAGTTTGTTTGCCTGGCTGCCTTTTGTTTGGCCTTATCATTTGTCAAAAAGAGCCACAAACGAATGCCTCAAATTGAATATTTGCATAAGTTTATTGAAACAGGCGAACTTCGCATTAAATCTGTGTCGATGGCGTGGCGTGTGTGTCTGTGTGTGTGTGTGTGAAAATAGGGGACAGGTATATCAGCACCTTCTCGCTGTATATTTATGTGTGAGCTCGGCATCTGTTTGATTTGGTTTATTTGATACTGAAGGCTCTGGGCTGATTGATTCCTTTGGCACATTTTGAAGCAAACCCAAATAAATTAGCAGAAATTTTACTTCGAGCTTTTACTCCTTCGAGCTTGACTGAGACTTATACAAAATCATATTAGAGCATATTCTCAGTTATCTTATAGCACGCTCTTAGCCAACTAGATAATGTTACCGGGAAGGGTTATAAAGCAGTCTATTAGCTAATTCTAATTTAAAATTGTATATCCAGGAATGTTACAATTTTAGCAAAAATATTTTTACATTGGAAAACTATTCTCTTTCTTCTCTTCTTTCAGATTTCGCTTCTGGTACATCATCATCAAATTTTACAAATTTTGTTTCAGTTTGATAGAGCTGCTTAAACTTTCAATTAGGAAATAATAGAGGAAATCTTTACAAACCATATATAAAATATTAATGTTTTAAAAAAACACAATGATAGATAATTGAATGCAAAGATTATTTTTACTAGAATCAAAGTCACCAACATATTTTATTTATGTTCAAATATACTAATATCGAAAGTATATTTTAACTAAGCAATATAAATATTTATGGCAAAATTAAAATTGAATGACTGCATCACACTTACACGTCCGCACACACACACACACACTCATGCAGCTCTCCAGGCGCACTTGATATTATCACAATTTCAGCCAAAGGCACAGTTTTTCCATCTGCACACTCATTTTAGTGAGCGTGCCACACACACACACTCACACACACACTCACACACACCCACAGTCTGTACACACGCAAAAAAAAACGGGGTGCTCAAGTTTTATGCGCCCTGACGGATTGTTGCTTTCATTTGTTTTTCTCGTTTTGTGCTTTTCCTTTATTTGGCTTTTTTCGCCAATTCATGCTAACCGCTGTTGTTGTGGGTGTTGCTGTTGTTCAGATCGATTACCGTTACAAGTGCCAGATACTTGAGCGTAAAAACGCAAGCGCACGTGTCTACAGGTTCATCTCCCTCTCTTCGTCTCCCTCTCACTCACTCGATTCTATGCCCTCTACAGCTGCCGGTATTGTTGTTGTCTGTCATTAGGAAGATTGATTTCAAAACGTGGCGCTTTTTCCTTCATTGTTGTTGTGGCAGCCAAAGCACGCAAAGTAAAAATACTAAAAATACTTAAATACTAAAATACTCAACCCATAAACACACACACACTCGCAGAGGAACGCAACGCCCCTACCTAATCTTTTTATTTGGTTTTGTTCTGTCAAGCGCAGATCATTTTGATTATATTTACCGTTGCGGTTGTGAGGTAAATACAGGTGAAATTCTTTTCATTTAATGTGAGCACTCGTATGAACATTTCAGATTTGCTGTCCTTCAAAAACAGAATGGAATTTATATAAGCATTCTCCATTTATACATCATTTAAACATTTAAGCAATACAATTAAAACTGTGTATGGATACGACATTTATCAATTTTAATTTGATATTTATTTAATTTTAGCAATCTACAATAGTCAATAATTTTCATTTTAATATAATGTAAATTTAGTGATTTAGTCCATTTTTATTTTATGTTATTTTAAGTGGAATTATTTAGTCAACAATGTTAATCTTATATTTATTTTAATTTACTGATTTAGTCAACTGTTTTTTTTTTTTTTTTTTTATTTATTTTTTTTTTTTTTTTTCTTTCTTTTTTCTTAAACAGTTATACAAATCATAAAAAAAACAGAAAACAAAAATTTAATTAAAATGAAACATATTATACTGAATTAAACTTTGAAGTGCATTAAACTTTTTTAAGCGGAGCACACACACACGCGCACTCAAAACACTCACACACACTCGCACAACTGGGAATTGTGGGGACACCTAAAAAGTACATTAAAATCACATTAACCCGTCAACGCTTTAAGCTGCGTATACGTAACTTTTGTTTATGCGTTTTGCTTAATGCCCAAATGCGAAGTACACAAAGCGCACGCAAATTGGTTTTTCGGTTTGCTCAGCACTCTGATAAGCCAATGACAATATACACATATATCATATATACATATATATACATATAAACACAGATATGTATGTGTGCGCAAACCCTTTTCTATACAGGGGCGCAGACAGTTAAAACTCTCAGCCAAGTTGCTACGTATCAGCTGGCAGACGTAATTGGCTTTTCGCTATAAATTTCAACAATTGTTTGGCACGCAGCACGCATCATGCCGCGACCCCGCCCATAGCTAAGCATCGCCTCCCCAGCAACTGTGCCGCAAGCTCCCCAGGGACACTAGGCTTAAATCGTGCGGATGTTTAGGGATGTATGAGTGGCTGTGTGTGGGTATGTGTGTGTGTGCTGTGAGTGTGTGAGTAAATTGTCAAAATTTTTTGGACATTTGGGCGACACAAGCAGCTTATCAAAAATGCAGCATGCGAAGCTTGTGTAACTGTAGCTGCCATCACATACCCACACACACACCTACACATACACACAGCTTCAGCTGCTGCTTTTGACCTGCTCGTGCGTGCTTTGGCCAATTGGTTGGCCCGGTCATTTGTGTAAGTCGAAATTGGTTTTTTAGTTGTTCCCTGTTTCAGCCTCATTTGCATATTCCAATTGTCAACTGAGGCGCACAAAAACATAGGGAGAGAGAGGGAAAGAGAAAATGAGAGATAGAACAAGCGAGAAGCTGCTCTTTATTTATTTAACTAATTTATTTACATTAACTTTAACTAGGCGCCAACTAGCTGCACGAAATGCTTTCAGCTAAACAGCAGCTGCAGGAGGCAGCCGAAACAAAGAGACGACAGCAGCATCTTTTCCTAATGAAAACCTACAAATTTAATAAACAAACGTCCTTAGAGAGTCAAGAACAGCGAGTCGCCTTTTAGAAAATGTTGAAATAAAAACAAAGAAGTTTTCTTTGCTAAATCTTAGCTGTAGTTCGGGCTAGGTTTGCTTAGCAAAGGCATATATGGTTTTTGAGTTGAATTCTAAAGTAATGTAATATTAATTTTCCTTCATTATACTTACAATTTTCTTTTAGATTTTTATAGGACCAGAGATTTTATATATTTTTATATTTACTTAGTTTTTTAAACATATATTTTTTTAACATATTTTTTTTTTTTTTTTTTTTTTGTAGCACTTTTTTATTTAATTTCATTTAGTTTTGTATTTTTTATAACCATTAAATAACATTATTATTGAAACTCGTATGTATATATTTATATTTTATTTTATATTTTAATAAATTTATTTTTTTTATATATATTTTTATTTATTTTATTATATTGTGTAAAAATATTCTTTCATATTTATTTATTAATTAATTTATTTAAGGTATTGTTTAAAAAAAAATATTTAATTTTCGACTCAAATTTTGCAAACAAAATTTCTATTTTCCATATGTTTATTTTTTATTCTAACTTTTAATATGCTAACAAATATTTGCGTGTATTAAAAAGTAGAAATAAAAAAAATGCAAATATATTAAATTTTCTGCAGCTACAAAAACTGTTACATTTATTTAATTATTTCTCTCTGAAATTTAAGATTTCAACTGGCCTAAAAACGTGCACAACGGAAGAGCATTTGAATACGGTCTTAGACTAACTTATCTAGCTTCCTGCAGTTAGACAACACACTTTGAAAATATATAGCAGAATATATATAGAATTCATACATATATTTCTATAAAAGAGAAAAATAAAATTATAAAACAAGTAAATAAACTTGAGGCAAAAGTTTTGCCAACTTTTTGGCAGACAGTTGGCGCATTTTAAGTTACGGCAATCGACAGAGCGAAGAAGGCGGCGTAACGGCACTTGGGTGGAAAGGTAACGGGACACAAAGGAACAGAAACAGGGAGAGCAGAAGTGTGCGAAAGTGAAAAACTGGCGCAGCGAGACAAGAGCTTAAAGTACCGCAAATTTTCACAGACCAAAAAATAAAAACAGACTCTGAATATTGAGCAGACGCTTTAAAGCAGCTGTTGGCCATATATAACGCCAAAACTTACCTGGCCAACAAATTGAGTTTTGGCCTGGCGAACTGATAATCCTTGAGTAGTTTCTGCTGTTATTGTTGTTCTTGCTGTTGCTGTTGCTGTTGCTGTTGCTGTTGCTGTTGCTGCTGCTGCTGCTGCTGCTGCTATTGCGGTTGTTTATTGTTGTTATTATTGTTGCTGGACTGTGTCACGCACAAGGGCAGCAGTGGTTTGGCCGTTCACAAAACATGGCTCAAACTTTTTGGCCACGTGACCAAGGAGTTAAACCGGAACTACAGCTAGAACAAGACACACTCACTTGCACTCACGCAGAAACACAGATCGAGTTGTTGTTGTTGTTGTTGCTGATACGCTTTTAATATATGCCAAAAATATAGAACAGAGCACAACAATTAAAGCAAGTGACGAAAGTTGCCTAGAGTCGAGTGGGTTTACTTCACTTCACTTTAGTATTACTGTAAACAAAATTCTGAACACTCGCCTCACTCATTCTCTAACTGTAACTACATCAAGATATGCCCCTGCTTGCTTTACGCACATACATTTGCGAGATTTACCGTTAATGCACTGCAATGGTAATTGGTTTGGCGATATTTGTTTAACCTGAATATGAGTTTTGCTTTTATTCAACAAACGCTTTGATAATTGTAATTTTATTGTGTCTTCGATTTGCGTCGTTTTGCCGAATTCACCGTTACGAACGAACACGATTTATGCGCGAGACAAGCGACAGCATTTCTGCATACGTTCAGTACACTCCGACGGCTGAGCTTCAACTGAAGCTAGAACGGACAACAGCCGCTTCGTTGAGCATCGTTCAGACCAATACACGAAGCGTGTGATACGTGTACGTACTACGTAAGCAAACGACCATACGAGAGGACGACATGGCACGATGGCATGAAACGGACACAACAATACGAAGTGTAGAAACGAGCAGCGAAACTGCTGAATACGAGACGATGTAAAGCAACGACGACGAGAGACCGAACAGGAGAGAGAGAAACTGCTAAACAGCTGTAAGTGCACAGGCTGATGTTAGGATTGAGCGGGGTTTAGTCTGTTAACAAAAGGGCAACGGCAATTGCATTCAGCAATTTATTTATGCTTTCTGAGCTTGATCTCTATGATCGGCCAGATTTCAAGTGAAATTGCTCATTATATTTAAATATTCAATTAGCCAAATATATGCCTAATTAGACAACACTTACGAAATAAGAGAACTGCTGAAAAACATTGACTATAGCACAAATTATTCATTTATAAATAATATAGAGTTTATGATCATTTAATCGCCATACTTAACAGCGCACTTTCGCTTAACATTGTGCTTGTTGCGCTCCGTATAAGACTCGTATGCTTCTCTTGCACATTCGAGCACTTAACATTACACAGAAAGCGCCATCTAGCAGAAATACCTGCGAGTTTCATCTATATAAGAGAGCGAGCAAAATAGGCATAAAAAGGGTTGCCGTCTTGGCTAGCTGTTAAGAGTCACTGTTAAGTTTAACTGTTAAAATATGCTGACTAACTGACTTTGACTAACTGTTCTTATTATTTAAATAATGAAATGAGATAATTAATTAATTAATTAAGCACACAAAAGCAACCCTTTTGCATTTAGATATGACATAAATATACAAATATCAGTATACTTTTCTATAGGTCTCTGTATTTAACTATAATGTTTGAAGATATTTCCATCTCCAATAAGCATTTCTTCTTATATGATAATCAGCTCTCAACTTTGAAAACTTTTGCCTTTACAGCTTTTACACACACTTAAAATCAGAGCACCGCAATGCAAGCCAATTAACTTGAATGTTTTCCAACACTAACATACATTCATTCATGTGTGGTTGTGTATAGCATATATATCTATGTTTTCTTTTTCTGCTTCTTCTCAAGTGCGCTTCTTTATTGCCTTAGTGAACTTACACCAATACCACTCTCCCTCACCCACCCCTTCCATTGCCGTCCCTGTCTCTCTCATTTAGTTCCAGCTGCAGCCGATGCCGCTGCAATCACTCAAAGTAAAAATTGTCATCAAGTTTCTCACAGAAGATGCTAGCAGAAAAAATGGCATAAAAAACAGTTGTAAATGCTAGTGCTGTGAATGAGCGACTAACAACTACCCTGTAATTGTATTGATGCATTTATGTATTATATTTGTTTATTTATATTATTTATTTATTGCAAGTGTAAAATACCCTGTAAAGTTAGAATCGAGATAGTAATTATATAAAATATAATAGAAATAATTTGAATTATGGCATTTATTAAACCAAGCACCCCTATATAAGCATTATTTTTTGTATGGCATTCTAAAGGAAAATAGTAGTAAAACCAAAAAACGAATTGCAACAAAATGTTCAAACACACTCAACGAAATTGACTTAAATAAATAAATGGCATAAAAACAAAGACAAACAAATGCACTGCAGCGGCAGCAGTGAGATGGAGAGCGAGAGTGTGAGAGAACATTCAAAGGGCATGGCACACATACAAACAAACAAACACACACGCACACACTACATCCAATTGCCTGACATCAAATTTACAACTAAGAAATGACCGAAGCGTAGCTTAGACAAAGAGTATAAGAGAGGGGTTAGAGCTTAGCTACTGCTGTTCCTCTGCGCTCATTCCATTTGATGCACTCGATGCAGCAGCAGCAGCAACAACAGCAGCATCGGCAGCAGCAACAATGACAACATTTAGTAGCTCATCCATTTTCATTTGTATTAAGCGAAAAGCCAAAAGTGCCGTCAACTTTTCGCAAGCACTGTCTCTCTCCATTGCTCTCACCCTTCCACTGGCGCATTACTCAGCAGAGTTTGCGCTCGCTGCTTGACAAGAAAACTAAAAATTGCAGCAATCATTCCATCCCACTCACCCACGCCGCTCACTCCATTGAACGCTGTCACCCTTCCACTCACACTCCCTTAGGAGCCAGCCAGCCCACCTATTCTGAGACGCTCGTTAGCGCAGCTGCTGCTGGCTGGAATTTATCTTATTTTTCATGCCACTCGCCATTTTTTACTTTATATTGTATTGTATTGTTTTTTTTACCATTTCCTGTTATTCTGTTTTGTATTTCTGGACATATTGTTAGCCCAATGATCGATGCAAATTGATGCGTATTGTTAATGGAATTTAAAGGGAGATAAAGAATCAGTACAAGATATATGTATGTATATCAAAAGAATTCAGTTTCTGGCAACCCTAAAAGGGTACTACATTAAATATGCAAAAATTTCCATATTGAAATTCGAGATTTTTTTTTTTTTTCCTATATACTTCTTACAGATTTATTGGAGCAGCAAAACAAAACAAAGCAAAACAAAACAAAAACAACAAAAACCCAGGCCACAATAAAAGAAATGCAGCAGCCACTGCAACCAGGAGAAGAAGAAGCAGAAACAGCTTGCCAGAGAAAAAATCATAAATAAGAACCGCTGCAATTTGTTTATATTAAAATGGAGAGTCAAAAACGCGTCCTAAGGTCCGGGTGCACAGATTTTTCGCATTGCATTTGCCAAATGCTAACTGCCAACAACAATCAGTACATTGAGAGAAAGAGACCGAGCTTGCTCTCCACTCTCTCCTCTCTGCATATTCCTACGCCTAGACTGTCCCGTTGTTTTGTGAATTATGCGCCTTCCGTTGCATGCGGCGGCAGAAACCAGAGCCAAAGCTTTCTCAGCCTTAGGACGTACAGCCGAGCGAGAGGGAGACAGAGTGAGTACAAATAAGGCCTTGATGCGCCCGGCTGCATATTTTTAAAGTCAGCAGGCAGCGGGCAGTCGCCCAAATAGTCACTCTCCCACTCTAACGCTCAGCGCCTACCCACCACTGCACTTTACTGTGTGTGTCCTATGTATTATTTTTACAGTCGCTCCCACAACAAACGGCGCTCGTTTTTGTAATAAAAATGTCATAAATCTTGATTTCTGCAACTAAACCAAAGAGCGTACGATAACAACAGGACTCAGTCTCTATGTGTTTGTGTGTCTCTGTGTGTCTGGCAATATAACTGTCTATTTACAGCTGTGCATATGAAGTACATTTTATTTGCTTTTATTTATATGCACACGTTTGAACATAATTGATTTATATTTATGTTTTAAAAAAGAGAGTGAGTGAGGGAGAGGCAGACTAAGAGAGAGAAGCTCCTCAAGCGCAAAGCTTTCTTTGCTAAAAATATAACAGCCTGCTACATGAAAGCGCCGCAACTGCCAAATGAACTTCCATATGTAAAAAGAGAGTATTCTGACTCAATTATATGAGAAAGAGAGACAGCATATTTGCACTGATCGCTTGCTCTTAAGTGGTATCTTTTACCAGCGTTCAACTTTGTTAAAGAGGGAAAGCTATACGATGTACATGCATGGGTCTTATTTATACAAAGACGCAAGGATAATGAAATTAAAGCTTTAATACACATATGAAAAAGTACAACTAGGAAAACTATATTGAAGATTAAACCTTTGAAAAAAAATTAAGTACAATAACATAAATCTTTCGTACCGCATACTTTGAGTAAATTATAATACAGACAAAAATAAATAAATTTACTCAAAACATTTACATAATTAAATAAAATAAGTCTAAATTATAATAGTATACTATTATTATTTTGACAAAGTTTTAATAATCTGATAAGAGTTAAATACCTCCAACTAAATTTGATAATAGGATCTTTTCTTAAGGGTGACATAAACTAATTTTTTGGAGCATTTTGGGTAATAAAGTTAAAATATTTATAATATTTCATATTAGCTAGATAATCAACATTTTTAAAATCGGCTATTACTAGAGTCTTGATCTTGGAATTAAACAATCTCAAATTGTCTCTGATAAGTCATTAAACCCTAACCTAACCAGCCTCAAACAAAGACAATTAATTTTATATTGAGTCATTTCAAAATTTAGATAACCAACGACCAAAAAGAAATACTTTTATTTTAATTAGTGTGGATATCTAATCTAATAAATATTATATTATATTATACCATATTATATAGATCAATCAGCGACAGCAATTAAACCACTTGTGTGATATGACCAAGTCATAGAGATAGATGAGCTCTTTAAAAGCGGAGACTCGTTTCGCGAACCGCACATTCTCCGCCAACTATTCAATATGAAAAGTTTAACTCTTTGCCTGCTGCTGCTCGTCTGTGGCAGCTGCCTGTTGAGCTCCAATGTGAGTTGGGGAACTGCACACACACTTTGATATTTTCGCTATTAAAAAGACTTTTCTTAATTTCAGGCCAACACTATCAATGACGACTCCGTTCACTACGAGGAGGTGGAACTCTATAGCGACGATGGCTTCATCAAGACAATGGAGAAAATTCTAATGAAAGTTTTGACGACAGTTCGTGGTGTCAATTGCACGATAAAAACCGTTGCTGATATTTTGATAGCGACCACAAAGTATGTGGACTCTATTGATGCCTGCGGCATGGCTGTGCCCAGGGAAGTGGCCAAAATTGTAAAATGCTGCAAGGACATCATCGCCATATGCGAGGATATCATTCATCTCAACAGCACCATTTGCGCTGCCGAGGAAAATGGCAAAATGACGTCCGGCAAGTGTTTCTGGAAACTCTTCGAGGCCGTCATGAAGTTGACCCGCAAGCTCAACACAGCCCTCAAGCTTATAGCCAAGCTGCCAGCAGACACGGAAGCCTGTTTCGTCGATGCCACCAACGAGGTGGTCGAGAGCTATGATAACTTTTTGCCAAATATAAATAAGTGTATCGACGAGATGTAGAACAAGTATACGATATATGAAATAGTTGAATATAGAATGGAATAAAAAATGATAATTGTAATAATATATTAAAAATAGATAATTTGTTTGCGGGGTATTGTCTAATTTCAAGAGTGCACTGGGGTTTTCCCATATATAAGTTGATAAGAAGTCCACATATTAATTATCTACATAGCTGTCTAATTTATATTATTTCTAATCACAATCGAAAACACTATCAAAGAAATTAATTAGATCTCCACATAACATAAATAAAACGCCATGATAGAATAGAATAAGAAATATATAACTTCTATAGAGGTTATGCAGCTGAATGTGAAATGTGAATAACTTACATAAATTGATGATATGATAGTAGTGTGAAATGATTCATAAAATAGTTTTGCCAAATTCTCCAATATATAAGTCTATCACAAGCATTTTCCTTATCAAGCTGAAAATGTGATATGTGAGATAGATAGCTGAAACAGAATGAATTTGAAGGGCTTTAAATAATAAGTACTTTGTATAGAGTATTAATGCACCATAATACCATAAATATGGTGTAATGAATAGGTATTATGTATGGGTATTACTTTAGGTATATTCGAAATGATTAAGATGAAAAATAATTAAATGATAATTGTAAAAATTTATACAAATTTAGGTACAAATCCATATATGCATATTAAAAACATCGCTCTACATTCTAGTAGTCTTTAGTTTAGGTCGTTGCATTTCTTGCTCTCCATATATTTATACTTTAAAAACATCGTCACAACTTAAAAACTTAGTTTAAACACATATATAAAATAGTAAACTAATCGTTACATACACTGGCATGGAATTCATTTTACAATTAACAGAAATATATATTTATGTATCTATATCTTCATTCGTATTTATCGAATCGTATAGATTTACAATTATATATAACTAAAATGCACGCATTCTGTGTCCGTCGTGTGGCAGAAGATTTATCTTATCTTATCACAAGTGAACATCACGTCTCAATGATAGCTTTACAAATTACAATTTTGTTTAACTTAGGTATAATAGAATAATTTAATTAAGCTTAAGTTGATTTAAATTTGTATATATGTAAGTACGTCAGGTAAATTATGCAATCTTGTCAATTATTATAAAATTTTAGTTGTTTTTTTTTTCACTTTTCTTCTTCCACTTGTTTTTAAATTAAGAAATTATCACAAATTGTTTTGTAGCGTTTTTTGTTTTTTGTTTTTTTCTTGATGTTTTTGTTTCATTTGTTTTGTCAATTAGAATTTGTTGAATTGTCAAGAATTCGTTGAGGACTCGCCCAGGATGTGTGCTCCAGCACATTACCAGTGATCCATGTCGCGAACGCGTTCCACAGGCGGATTACTGGAAAGAAGAGGAGATATATGTTATTTAAATATTGAATAAATATAGTATTTAAATCGAAATTACGGCAACATTCGGGCCATTGCATGCTTATGCAAAGGTGAGATTTGCACAGCAGCGGAGGCTATGCTGGAGCCCGAGTCCTGTGAGAGAGTGCGCTGCATATGGTGCATGGGATGAGCGCCGATTGGACCGCCGCCCACAAACTGCAGCTGCTGCTGATGATGATGCTGATGCATTGGATGCGACGAGGCAGAATGCGACGTGTGCGGCAGCTGTTGGGCGCGGCGGAAGGGATGACGCCAAGGACTCTTGGGCACATCACCCTGAAATGCCTTGTTCTCTACGCCGTTGCTGGAGACACCGGCGGGACTGCCGCGTCGCGGCGCTGTGGCATGCGGCTGCATATCACGCGCCTTGGAGCTGAGGCGACGCAAGATGCGCGAGCCGAGACCAGGCGGCTCCTCTAGACCGCGACTGTTGCGCGACTTGCGATAGCGAACATCGCTCGACTCCTCCAGTATAACATGGCGATCGTAAGGAGTGCCATAGTAGACTTCCAGCACAGTGGAGAACGTATGCGGCCAGACCAGGTCAATGATGGAGATCAGCACGCCGGCAATAAAGCAAAGAATGCCTGAGAAGGGAAGATCAATAAGCGATAATCGAGCAAGCAAGGGAAGGGAATCGAAGTTGCCCACTCACCTGCAACCAGGACCAGCCAGAAACACCAGCCAAAGTGAAACTCCAGTCGTCCGCCCTCCAGAAATATGCACAATGGCCGCTGCGGCAACAGGCAGTGGTAGCCCACAGCTGTGGAGACGAGCAGGGCTCCCGTCAGGGCTTTCAGATAGGCCCCATAGCGCGGCACCGCCAATAGCAGCAAATTCATCAGCAGCCACGAGGCCAGCGAGGCCCACAGCATGATGCTGGCAAAGTAGCCAGCGGCACGATACTGACCACCCCACGAGAAGCCCTCGCGACCCAAGCTGAAATACTCGGCCACTGTCAGTATGGGAAAGGGCAAACCGCGCTGCAGAGCCAAGCGATAATTAGCGCTCATATCGTTCGCTCCCTCCCAGCTGAAGCGTTCGTTGTAGTCAATGTCGGGCTGCGTCCAGTTGCCGATGGGAATGGCTGTTGAGCAGAGAGAGAGAGAGAAAGAGAGAGAAAGAGAGACAGAAAAACATATGAGTAACAGCTTTGCTATGAGTTATGTTAAAGTTTACAGAGTGATTAACAGAGCTCATCTTAACATAATATGTTCATGCAAATGAGTTCATGTTATAATTAAGCGATGATTTCTGAGTTTCTCACAATGTTTCATAAGGCAAACTAGACTAGACAGGAGAATGACAGTCACAGATTATGAGAGCGCCTTTAACATCACATAGATTAATATAATATGTTAATTTCACTGAATATGACAAATCTACATATTCTTAACAAAACAAAAATATTTTTAACTCTGACTATACAAAAAAGAGATTTTGCTAATTTATTAAATCTTAAGGTAAAAGTGTATAATATAGTTTACAATGCTACATAATTTTATTTATTCAGACAAATATGTTATGAACAGAAACATTTGGAATTTTAAGAAAGGTTTTAATTCTTAAAATTCATAAAATTAATATTTTCTGTTAGCTTTTGCTTCTTATTATGCAAATTAATATATGTTTGAGCAAAAAGACCAAATTCGATGGAAAGCTTACGAAGAACACACTTGAGTCATCTTGTATTGCCGTTTATAAATATTATAAATATTTTAAGCGACCTGTCACTGACGTCTTTTTGACTTTCGAAAAAAAAAAAAAAAGATGAGAGGAATTTGCCGTCTTTTACTTCAAGCTGCCGTTAGAGGAGATCGTCTTCTTTACTCGTTTTCTTTGACTTTATTCTTGTTTATTTTTTGTTATTATTCCTCTTCTCTTTACTTCTTGCATATTTTGTCACTTGGTGCCAGACACTTTGGCAACGCGCGCGTCTCCACAACAAACAACACACCGAACAAAATTAAAATCATATATCATTTCAGTTTTATTTTTGGAGTCTTTGGTGATGATGATGATGATTATTATGATGATGATGCTGAAGACACCTTTTAACTGTTAAAAAGTAACACCAAAAAAGCTTTAAAAAAAGAAGATTAATGGCTTGCATAAACCAAAATGCTTTCAGAATTAAAAGCACAAATTGTTTGAAAATCAAAGAGCGTGGGCCGCAGCCCAAAAGATCTTTCAATGTTTCGAAAGGCAAAATCTATAAAATAAACCGATCAATGATTAGCTTACGCAATGGTGCGGCTGATCGATATATATAAGTATATTCATATACATATATATATATTTTTATATTTCTTCTGATCTTCTTCCGATTATTCAACTCATGTCGCACTTCAAGCTTAAATCCAATTATCATATAGTCATAACTTTGATATTCAAATATACCTTTATACAACGGAAGATTGCAAGAGTTTTTTATGGGAGCAAAGCAAATACAAAATATTATTCATAAATTATGCAAATGTAATGCTAAACTAAGTAAAGAAAAAAAGCAAACAAATAAAATTTAATTTTTAAAATCAACAACATATAGAAGAGGTAGGTTTGATTAGTTTAGCAAACTCTTGCATTGGGGTATTCAGAGAACCTGGAATCTACTATATGTCAAATAATTGTCTATTACTTATTTAAATCCCTCTCGATCACTCACTCATTCTCCGTATATTTCCTTATTCTCTTTTTGTTGTTTGCTCAAAATCTGTTTCTAAGTATAGAATAGGATGAAGAGCCCTCTTTTTCCCGTTTCAGTGGTTCTCTCTTTTTCGTTCCGTTTCTGTCCCTCTCTGTATTTTTGTTCCGTTCCTGTTCCTCTCTCTCTATCTCCTAGCTTCTCTACCTTTGTCTCTCTGTTTCATTCCCTGTGTCTCTGTATGTCTGTTTCTGCATCTTTTAGAGAGTTTCTATTCATCATCCCTCTCTCTCCTATATGTTCCTCCTCTTTCTCGTTCCGTTTCTGCCTCTCTCTGTTTCTAACGCTGTATATCGGTTTCTCTATTTCTCATCCATCCTTTTTTTCTATTTATTCACCTCTGCCTTCGCTTCTGTTCTCCTCCCACTTTCTTACTACATTTCCCTTTTCTTCAATGTTTCTGTTCCTCACTTTTTCTATTTCTTTGTCTTTGTATATCTGTTTCTCTATGTCTCCTGCCTCTCAAATTCTAATTATTACTCAAAGTCTTTATTCCTAATCATACAATTAAATAATATAGTTGCATTCTTCAGCTAGAACTTTTGAAATATCCCTCGCGCGATCGCACAACTAAATTGGTAGCTGTTCGAAAGCGCGTGCGCTGTTGTAAACCGGAAAATGTTGACGAATGTTAACAAAATATGCAAACATTTGTTGCTGTTGCTGTTGCTGTTGCTGTTGCTGTTGCTGTTGCCATTGCTGTTGCTGAGCAGCAACTGCAGCAATTGATTATGCGATGTTGTTGTTGTTGTTGCACTTATAGGCCGCTCACTCGACTTGGCTTGTGCTTAGCGATTGCTGTTGCTGCTGCTGCTGTTGTTATTGTGGTTATTGTTGTTGTAGTTATGTAAGGTTAGCTTGAGCTAGCGTCGAGCCATTGACAATGAATTGCGAAGTGCGAACGAAGCCAACGAACGTGCAACGTGTGGGCCGCAGCCCGCCAGCGCGACAAGCTGCAATGCGTTGCACACACGTTACGCATACGCCGCGTGGCCGTCACTTTGACGCGTTGCAGCTAGGCAGCCGAGCAGCTGCAGCAATTTCCGGCTGCGACAGGAAGTGAGTTTTTCAATTGCTTTTCATAACTGCGAAGGTTGCAAATTTGTTGCTGCTGCTGTTGCTGTTGCAGTTATTGAAGGTGTTGCAGTTGCATAGTTGTTGTTGCTGTTGTTGTTGTTGAACAGTTGGCATGCCAGGTTGCGGCCAGGGTCTGCTTGTCAAATGAACCGTTAAATTGTAGAGCCTGTCAAGTTGCTGTCAAGTGGCCATTTCAAGTGTGTGTCAATGGGCTTTTCAGTTATTAATGAACTACAAAAATGCCTTTGACAAATCTGTGCTATATACCCAAGTGCCGCAGTTCATTAAGAGTATATCCGTTCTTTTCTCTCCGTTCCTTTGCTCTCTATTGTATATATACATATATATATGTATGTTTATACCTTTCACATTTGCTGTATCATGCGCCTGCCCCTCGAGTCCGATGAATATCTGTATTATAATAACGCTCTAATCCCCCAGCAACAACAATTAGCATTGCAAATAGTTCAACAAATTGAACCGGTTGAAGGCAGAAGAGGAAGAAGAAAACAACTCAGTTGCCAAGCCCAAAAGCAAAGCAACGTGTTGAATTGCGATTAGCCACTGACTGGGAAATCATATCAATTCGGCAGTTTAATGACTTTTTATGATCGATCGCAAACGCAGACGCTGCGTAGACAATTTTCGATTGGATTTTCCTATTTTGGGCGCAAACGAAAACCTTGGCGCGAGTTTAAGGCCGATTGTGAATTAACTGTCGACAGCATTTCGATTTGGCGTGACGTTTTTATGTAATTGTCAATTGAAACGAATGTAAACTTATATATATAGAGACTCGTATATTTTGTTCAAATATAAACAATATTGGGATTCGGACATCACAATTGGCAGACACAAATTTTATAAGCGGCTTACGCGGCGTATGAGTCACATTACAAATGATAATCAGTATCCGTTTCTTATGAGCGTGGGAATTAGGTTCGCAAATGCTCGCTTGAAATTCATCGAAGTCATGTATAAGATGTATGAGCAGAGTGTGAATGAAACGTTGCCGTCCTATACCCTACATTAATTGGTACCAATGGGGCATGATGAGAGCAGAAGATATAATTGGGTACATAACAGAAGCAATCAACGCTTGTTAAGTGAAGAAAAATATGAAATAAATAATACTTTCTTTTTACTCGATAATTATCGATAAGTAGCCATAATTCATCGAATATTGATATCATCGGCAATAGAATATTTTTCAAGTATTGTTATATTATTTCTGTTATTATTTATACTATTAAAAATATTTCTCAAATTATTGTATATATAATTTATTTTATATAATATATCAATCTATATTCATAATTTTTAATTAGCATTTTATACACTATTTTTAATTTTATTTTTTATAAAAAAAATATGAACGTTTCTTTGCTAAAAATTTATAAATGGTAATTTCATGTTTGATTTACAAAACGTTTTTCTCAAGTATATCTAACCCTTTGATCACTTCAAACGTAATGCCAACCATAAGTTTTCATAACAAACGAGATCATTTCTGATTTAATCAGTAAAAATAAAGAAAAACACATGTTAAAACAAAACAAAAATAAATAAACATATAGCAAGCGCTCTCATTAATTAACAGTTGCCAAAAACTTCCTGAAACTTGTACTAAAAAAAAAAAAAAAAAAAAAAAAAAAACAGTAAATAAACATCGTAGACAGAAAAAATAATTAAAGGCGAGTTAAGACCAACAACAAAAAATTACCATATCTGCGGCAATAAAATTGATGTTTTCCTATTTTATGCTGCTTGTGGCACAGCGCGAGGCAGCAAAGCAGCTCGCGCTTAAGTACATACAGCAAGGCAACAACAACAACAATAGCAGACATACGCATAGCAACAACAATAAATAATAATTGTTGTTATGACTTTTCATAATTGTGAAGTGATGATTATGCTGATTTCTGTATGTTGACTTTGCTGCCCCTCTCAAGTGGCAAATGGCCAATGGGGCGGCTAGAGGGAAACGCGGGTAGGAGTAGGCGTCACACACACAGGCACAGCATACAAAATTTGGCAGCAGCTGTAGCAAAAATGAATTAATAATCAGTTTTTGTTTTTTTTTTTCCTTTTGACAATAGACCAAAGGCACACGACAAAACGACAACAACAACGACAACAACAGCAATGATGAAACACTAGAAACTGTTTAACAACGCTTCTGAGCCGCCTTCTCCTCCTCTATGGACTCTGCGTGACAAATGTGTGTAAAAATAAATAAATGTTCCGCATCTGTCATCGTTTTGACAACTCTCGAGTGCCCCATGTCCAAATTCATAGTCAATGCTCGCAAATAGAACTTGACGATTTTTTAGAAAGAAAAGTCAAACAAAAAATAAATAAATATTTAAATAAATCCGTATTTTAGAATTCGTTTAGACAGAGTGGGCGTGTTCACCTTAAGTGCTTGGCAATAAATAGAATTTGAATTTACCCATTTTTTTTGCTAAATTTGAAGTTAATCTAAGAATATTTAAAAATAGAAATCTCTATATCAGGTTGATGATTAATTTCTATAAGGAACATATATATTAGGCATATGTATATAAGCATATTTATCTGTAAATCTACAATTAACCTACTGTTGCTTAGGAATATTTGTTCACACGTATAACCCTTCTATGCAATTCTCATAAAATTGAAATGCTTTTGCATGCTTGTAGAATATTCTTCAATAATTCTCCTGCTTTCCTTATATTTTTACTATTTATTGTTTATTATATTTATTTATATTCATTATTATTATTTATTTATTATTATTATTTATTTATTATTATTATTTACTTACTATTATTCTTTTTTTTTTTTTTTTTTTTTGTTATTATTTATTTCTTTTTTCTTCTACACTAGATATACTAAAGTATTTATAACTATTTTAAATATTTTAAAAGTAGCTTTTAATCCAATTATATAGCAAATAAACTCTGCAATCTGACTTTTCCGTTCAAAATCAATTTCTGCTATACAATGTGTATTTTTTCATAACCTTAACATTTTTCAGAGCAATTTCCATAAATATTTTTCATATTTATCTCTTTGTTCGTTTTACTCTGCCGTACATATAAATCCTTTAAAAATTCTAAGCCATATTGTTCAATTAACATCAATCAAAGTTTCAGCGTTTCAGTGTTTCCCCAAACGTTAGACAAGTTCTATTGTTCACTTCGATGCATTATTGTATTTCGAATGCACTATGGGCAAAAATACCGATAGTGAGGCATTAACTGCAACTTTAAAGATAGAGCCTTGAAATTTTGCACATACGTTGCTAATATTAATACAAAATTTCGGTTTTTTTTTTTTTTTAAGTTTGAGCCACGCCCTCCCCTTGTCCCCATACATGTGATTAATTTACCGATGAATATCGAAACGATTGCAAGCAATTTCATAAATATTATATATTTTAAGTTAATAAACACTATAAATAAATTCAAAAATAAGTAAATAAATAATTTACTACATATATATTCGCGATTCGCAAATCTGAAAGCAAAACATAGGATATGATATTATTTCTAGTATCTATTAATTTCAAAGGAATTATAGTCGTCACAAACAATGATTGGTCTATGCCATCAATATTATCTCTGTTTATATATCTCTGTTTATATATACTCTGTCCTGTTGAGCCATCAAAGCCGTAGCTCAAAATTAATGAGCAATGAGTTGGGCCAAAAATTTCTAGTACTTCTTGCTGCATGGAAAGAATCCGATCAACTGTATGATCTAACAAATTTTGTAATGAAACTTCCACTTTGGTTTCAGAATAGGAGATTTCTTTTGGTCTACATTTCAATTTAAGTTCGCTAAGCTCTGAATAGGGAGGATAAATGTCACATCCATGCATTTTATTTAATGTTTTTATGTTGATATATTGTTGTTTGGACAACCCATTTTCCATTAAAAATGCTAATGCCGCCTCAGCAGTTATAGGTACTACTGCAATGGATGATTGCTTATTTTCTGCTTCCCACACATTCTCATTGCTCATAGCTTTTTGTAACAGATAAGTTTTTTCGGTTTCTTTTGATTTTTTTGATGAAATCAAAGCAGCATGTACCAAAAGGGGTGTTGCGTTTTTACTCTCTTCGGCAAGCTCAGAAGCTAATTTCCTCCTTAATCGGGATCCCGCTTCATTATAGTTTAAGCTCTTCCGACCTCCCATATTATTATTGTTGTCATGACGGTGTATTTTAAACTTAGCACTAGAAGCTAGCCAAAGAGAATGTTTTTGTTTAAATCGATTCATATTTCGATTACATTTTTTCAAATTATATTTCATATACGACGTCAAATTATGGACTTTCTCTTTAATAATGTCAAGTTGCACTTCAGATATATATTCGCTGTTTAAATTTTCCAAAATGTAGTTTCTGACAGCGCTTTCTTGCCTATTGTTGCTGCTCCAAACTTCTAGCAACATTGAATTGCTAATCTCGTATGTATCTGCAACATACGATATTTCGCCAAATGGAGCAAAAAGGAGCAAAAACCCTTTATAGCATTTGATTAAGGAATGTTTACTGAATACCTTGCTACTTAAACATTGAACAACAAACTCTAACATTATAAGTTATCTTCCACGAAACACACAAATATTTTTAAGGTTACGGCTGAAAATACAACTAGCAACACATTGGACGATTACACAATAAATCACAAGTAGCACAAAATCTTTTAATACATTCTGTTAAGCATACCTTTAAGAAGATTTTCCATAGTTAAATTGGTTTGTAAATTTTAATTGCAATAGTTTTTTTACGTCGACAGCTGAGAATAATTTGGCGCACTTTTTGCCATTCACCATGCAACCCTGAATCAGCTGACTTTGACGAAGCTTAAAACATTAGGGGAAGTCCCCAAAATTTTATAAAAATTGTTTTTATGTCTATTGGAATATCCTTAATGAGATAAAAAAAAAAAATTGCGGATTCGAGATAAAAAAAAAATTAGGTTTATGCCTCACTATCGGTATTTTTGCCCATAGTGGAATGGTGAAAAAACTCGTTTGCTTAGTCATTTGACTGTAGCTTGGCAATCAATAGCCTGGCTATATAAGGTCTCAGCAATTTACGGGCGCCCGATCGGAGCCACTGCAACTGAACTGAAGCCAGGTGCACAATATAAAAAAAAAAAAAAGACCAAATATAAAACTCTAAAACACAAATGCCTCCAAATGTGGCGGCTGATGGAGCGTGACACACACCCACGATGTGCAAGGCAATGCAATATCTAACCTCCTGCTATATATCCATAAACATATAACAAAAAGTGCAGCTAAAACAACTTCAATAAAGCCAAGAAAATTGCCTCCAAAAATACCAACATAAATACCAACATCATCATCACAATCATCATCATTACAGTCATCATCGTTGTCATTATGATATTGGCAATAGTAATGGCTTAGCCGCAATTCAAATTATTACAGCCAGACATATGATATTAGGTAGGTGAATAAAGACTTTTGACTTGACATTGCATAAAAGCGCTTCAATTTCAATTTCAATTCAATTTCAAATTTTAATTTGAATTCAATTCGAGGGGCCACAATTAAGTTGTCAGCTTTGGCCTATGCTGAACTACTCAATATAATCAGCCTGCCAAAAATTGACATACGCAATTATCATATTCAAATGCGGTACTAAAATGGTATATGAGTAAAAAGTACGGAATACCGAAAGATACCCTATAACTATTTGCACAGAAAATCTTTAGGCTTTTCAAATGAACTTGGCAGAGATCTGCTTAAGCACTCTCAACATATCATATGCCTCATTATAAAATACTAATTCAATCAAATCTCAACAAGTACAGGGTATCTAAGACTAACTACAAAAATACTTGAACACTTGGGCTGTCTATTTGTCAGTAAAATTGAGCAACTACGTTTGCCCTTTTGGTAAGCAACGCCCACAAACTGACACTGGCCCACAAATACGCACACACACATAGCTACTCACACACACACATAGCTACACCCACACACAAACAAATAACAACAAGAAATCACAACAATGCCAACTCGAAACAAACATGAAGCACTTTTGGCAGTGTTTATTTCGAAAACTGCTACTGAAACATTGAAAGACATCCAAGGGGTCGGCGTAAGGGGGCAAGGGGATAAGAGGGCACGAGCTATAGGAGGTAAATGGGTGCAGAAAAATAGAAGTTAGCAGCTAACGTGAAATCTGTATTATAATGTAAAAACCAATATGGAAACCGACATAAACGTTGGCCAGGCAAATTGCATGCAGTTAAGTGAGCTTGAGCGGAAGGGGAAAGAAGGGCAAATACTCTGGCCGACAGAGATAGAAAGGTGAAAGCAAATCGAACGGAATCCAATGAAATTCTTAAGGGAGTTGGCAAGAAAGGAAGTTGGTACAGCAAACTAATAATTTGAAAATACGCTGGTATGTATATAATATCTGTATCTGTATCTGTATCTATCTATATGTATATATGTATATATATATCTATCTATCTATATATCTATATATCTCTGTATCTATGTATGTATGTATCTATATCTATCTCAATTTCTTAATCAGCCTCTACCAAATAGAGCAGTCAGACTTCGCTCAGCTAAACTAACCAACACGACTACATTTACATACATATGCACATAATAATACATATTTTTGTATCTTTACCGTCAGTTAAATATATTGTTATAATACGTTATTTATAAGTTGTAGCTGCAGCTCTTGGCTGAGTTGGTTGCTTTAACATTTGACCAGGATTACTTCGATTGTCATGGCATTTTGAATTGATTTACTGCGTCAGCTTCAAACAACCATTTCACCTTTTTTTCTATTGTATTCAAACCTCTTCTGCTTGCTGCTGCTGTTGTTGTTGTTGTTGTTTTCGCTTGCTCGAGTGCACGAATCAATGAATGAACAAATGTGCGATTGAGTGAGTGACTGACTGACTGAAGCAAACAAACAAATGCGAATATGCATGAGTATTTATCTATATCTATTCGTGAGTGTGTGTGTGTGTGTGTTTGCTTGTGGCTGTGAGTGTATAAGCCCAGTTAAAAGGCAGCGCGTCAGCAGTCACTTGTGCGAATATTTCCGCAGGTGTTGAGTGGCATTTCATAGGATTGTTGTTGTTGTTGCTGCTGCCGCTGCTACTGCTGCTGCGGCGGTCTGTGCGGGAATCGTGACATGCAGCTTGACTTGGCACTTGGCCATAGAGCACAACACAAAACCAAGAGCCGGGCTACCTGCTGACGTCACACCCTCAACTCGGCGTTATATCTATTTATATAGAGAAACACATATACATAGTATTTGTTTACGACTTCCATGGCGGCAAATCAATTAGCCAGGCCCAAAACGTACGCAGTCAAAAGGCCAAATTGTAAATTGCAACTGCAACAGTTGCTCCAAACGTACAAATTTAATTAAAATCGTTTTGAATGCCGATTAAAATCTTGAATGAAAATTGCTCAATTGTTGCCGCTTGCGACATATTCGACTTGATGCCGATGCCGCTGCTGCTGTTGGCTGAACGTCGTTTATCTTCCGCTTGGCATCAGCTGGCAAAGGGGCACCACAACAACAACAACATCACCCTAGCTTGGACTATATATCTCCGCTTATGAATTATAAACACAATATCGTGTTTTTTTGGTTTTTTTTTTTTTTTTTTTTTTTTGGTATTTGAATGTATATTCATAATCGTAAACCAGTTGGCAACAAAAGCCATTCAATCAACAGCACGAAAAGCGGGCGGGCCTTATGGAAGTTAGGGCTGCTGTCGATGCTGTTGGTTGCTGCTGCTGCTGCTGGTAGCATTTGTTGTTGTTGTTGTATTTAGTGCTGCAGCTAAGGCTGCTGATTTAATAACTTTTAAACATTAAGTAAATGAGTTTTCATATAACCCATCCAAAGACAGTTTATCAAAATGTGACGAGGGCAGATCAAAAAACAATTTTTGTTTTTTAATTTTAAAAAATATGTAAATTTTAGTGTGCGTTGAATGGCTTAAAATCATGTTTATGCTTCTGGGTATTGTTAAAAAAGTTGCTATATATTACTATGGCACATATATATTATTTTTATTTATTTTTATATATTTATATTTTTATCTTTTTCCCATTATTAATTTTCTTTTTAAGTTGAGTTATATTATTAAATTAAGAAAAAAAAAAAAAAAAAGAAAATAAAAAAAAAACTCAATCCAACAATATTAAAATAAGTAAGAGTGCTCTCAGCTGGGTCTCCCGACTACGAAATACCCTGAACCTATCATTGTAAAGCTTCTTTAATTCTAAGTATCACATAAAACAACGTAATCTATCGCATATCGCATACACACTTTGCTTAATAAGTACTTTATTTATTTATATATATGCATAAGCATATTTATATTCATATCCCAATCCATATTCATATTCATATTCTCATCTCACCTGTCAGTGTCACATTGACGTGCATCAGTCCGATGTGGGTGCCGATGCGGGCGAGCAGTTTCTCGCGTGAGAATGCCTTATATGGTGCAATGATTGTTGCATGTGCCACATGCCACGCTGAACCCAGCCGGGTAACTGAAATTGACAGAAGAAGAAGAAGAAGCAGAAAATTAATATGGAATTAACATAGCAAACGGCACGGCAGACAGGTAAATACTCACTCAGTATGACTAGACCCACAAAGAGACTCAGTGTGACCGTCGAGAATGTTGTGAACTTCTGTGAATATGAAAACGAGACGTCGATTATAATGAGATGCTCAATTTACACGTGCGTGTGAGTGTGTGTGCGTGTGTGTGCGTTTGTATGTGTGCTGTAAGTGAAACTGTAATTACATAAGACGTAAGCGTTTTAAAGCCAGTTACGGCCAACGACTCTGCCAATTGGTTGACTAATTGAATAAGCCAGCCACTCAATTGGCCAAACGAGCTGAGCGCTTATTGATGGAACAGCAGCAGGAAAGGAGGAGGCGGCGGTAGAGAAGCGTGAAAGAAAAGGGCGCACCGGGCAAACAGGTTATAGAGTTATATCTGACATCTATTTGAAAACGTGCCGACGATTATGATTACAGCTGTCACTCTTAAATACGAAACGTAGACAAGACGGCAGCAGCGTGAGAACTACGTGTAGCATTGTCATACTAAAGTCAAGTCAAGTCCTTGGCCTGCCTATAAACTAGTTCGAGGAACTAGAATAAAAACTAAGCTTTTTTGAGTTCTAAAATAAAAACTAGCAAAGGCAAATCTCTTAACAACGATTTCCTGTACAGCTCGTTTCAAGTTTCATAAATTCTATTTACAGTTTAAAGTTCAACTATGAAAATATGATAAAAAATACTTTGGCTAAGGTTTTATAGAGCAGTCCAATTTTGTATAGTCCAGTAAATGAAACACCTTTTCACACTCACCTGCTTACGCACACCAGGAAATATGACGAGGAACGCCACATAGAATGTGGCAAAGAGCACTGAGACAGCCACAATGGAGACATCGCCTGTGACGGGTGTTCGATTTGAGAATGAATAAAGCGTTGGACCGCCATCGTCTCGAAATGCGTCGAACCAGCCCTTCATGCTGGATATATTTATCCTTTATGCAGCTGGTGTCTAAAAGAAAAAATGATCAAAAATAATATAAACAGAAAATTATTAATTATTTTTAAAAATTTTGTACATGTTTTGCAATATCTTGTAAATATTAGATGTGAGCTCAAGAGTCAATTAAAATGCGGATTTGCATATCTCGCGTGCGTGCTTAAAGCAGCGATGCTCAATTAAGCCAAGACCAAAGACTAAAACCACAGCCAAACACATCGTGGGTAGATACGACTTATTACTATATGCAACCGCAAGATATATAAAGAAATAATAAGCGAAAATAGTTAAGTTTTGCTCTATCGAACTTTGCATACACTTTTTTAATTAAGTACCAATTGCTATTCTGCAACAACAAAAACGAGGATAAAGAGTTTAAAACAAGATTTATCCAAACCAAAATAATTTAAGTCTTCATGATGATCACTATCATCAAATTAACCATTGCAATCTTATTCTTTTTGGTTAATAACCAATATATTTATATCATTAATGAATATTTATTTTGTATATGTTTAATTAATTAAAATAATAATTATCATTAACATAAAAATGTTAACTACGATTATCATTACTGATATCGTAATGCTCATACTATCATCAACATAATCAATGTGATTCCTTATATTATTCGAATTTGAATTATTCTAAATAATTATTATATTATATATTTAATTTATATATTATATTATTCTTTTTTTTCTAATTATTTATTCTTCTTTACCACTGTTTTGCGACTGAACAGCTCCGCTCAGCAAATGATCAAATACTAGAGCAACCTTGGAATTTCACTCAAAGAACACGAAGCAGTCAGAGAGAGTTTTTATAGTCGCTCGTGTAGGAAAAGTGATTTATAGAAGTCTAATCTACTGACATTATATATTCCCCTCTTAATGTGTTACATATTTCATGGCACGCTTAGAATACCTACAGTAAGAGTATATCAAATATATAGAGGCCCGTTGCCAATTGCCAGATGCCAAGTAGCAGATGGATTTGCACTTTTACGGCTCGGAACGGATCGCTTTGGTTCGTGACTAAGCGTTTAGGCTGCAGATAGACCTCAGCAAAGAAAACCGCGAGCTGGAAATATAGATGGCAACAATGACTGAAGCCGACTTATAGACAAGTGACGGGCAGCAGCTAGAAGCAACAGCAACAGCAGCTCAATGCAACCAATCCAGCTGCTAAATTAGTTAAATAAACAGAGGGCAGTACAGTAAAGCCCCCCGCTAACCGGAAATGTAAAGCTAAAGTCCAAATAAAAATATGAAGCAAGAAAAAAAAAATGCTGAATTAATAACTAAACAAAATAAAAAATTGAACAAAGGAATTGAATTTTCAGCACTCGAAAAAAAAAAAAAAAAAAAAACTTGTTAAAAATAAGAGATTTGAAAACCAGAAATGCCTAAGATTTAGAACCGGATTTAAAAAACAAAACAAAAGCCATCGCGGGAGGGCTACAGAAGAGCAACAACAATAGATAGAAATAGCAACGTCTATAATCATCATCAGCTGTTGCTGAGAATGACGTAGTCAAAAAAGTTATAATTAAGTGCCGATCAAATTGAATAAGTGAATATTAATAATGCCCTAAGCATAACGAATCTTTAAATACTCTAGCCAAAAACCGACCTATACTAAACTAACTAACCATATCATCCGCCAGACTAACTAAAATTTAAAGACTTTCGTGTTTCTTTATTAGTTTATTTTCGTTTTAATTTTTAAAATCCGGTTTTTAAATAAGTCGCTACACAAAAATCATTAAAAATTTTAGCATCAAGGCGTCGTTTGGTTGAATTCAATAAACCAGACATTTGAAAATTTTTATTAAATATTTATATATTTTGTATAACAGTTAAATAAATAGGTAGATAACCTTAGCAAATTAAACTTTTTGATCATTGCATAGACAGGCGTTCATGATGAACTTAAATTTTATGACAATCTAATGAATTCACTCCATACTTAACTCAATGGCCATTCTAATAATTAAATTTCAATTAGCATTTATCTTGTTGAAGAAAAAGAGGACTTAAACAATATTGTGTTTATTTTATTTTATTTTATTTATTTTTTTATCCATTGAAACGGACATCGAGCACATAAAAGGCGAAATAAAGAGAATTGCGCATACGCAACGTGTTACGTATGCTGGCACGCGGATGTAAGTAAAACTTTTGTTATGATTGAAGTCTTCAAGTGTTTAAGTATCAGCGCAACGGGGTTTTTCCCTGTCGGCGAATACAAGTTCTGACTTTGTGAAAGTTGCAGACCCGGCGCGCCCTGAGGCCAATCAGTGCCAGCGCCACTTACAGATAGAGAGTTTTAATGAAGCAACAGATGGGCGAAAAAAATAAGAAAGAATTGAACATTATAGCTTAAGTTTAATGCGCTCAGCATGCGGGCAAGTAGAACTGTTATACATTGTAGTCAGTTATACTCAGTTGTCAATTGGAATACTGTATGGAAAAGAGAGGAAGAAGGAATTAAACAGTAAGGCTTAACTTAAATGTACTCAGCGTGAGGACAAGTATTGTTATTGTCTGTTATACATTCTTTGTTATAGTCGATTCTCAATTGGAAATAGTGTGTTGGGAGCCTATGAGGTCTAATATTATCTCAATTTTTAATCGTACACACTCTTAAAACAAAATGAAGTCCTTCCTCAATTCTACTCAAAAGTTTACTTGGTCATCTTACAGCTTTCAAATAAAGCTAAAAGTTTCATCTAAGTCCTCTGCTTTACTGTTTCTATACTTTCAAGATTCACTTCTGATTTTTCTTAGCACTCAAACTGAATGCTAATCGTCTATCTACTTTTAACTATAGCTCAAAAGAATGAAAATTGCTTGATTTGATTGACTTTAAGCATGCATTTCTAATATGTATATCCGAACTATTAAATTGATAATATCTTTAAAATGTACTTAAAATTTCTTTCAGTGTCTCAATTAATTATCAATTCCTTAAGCAAAAGTTCACTTACCAAACTTGTCAGTTAATATAAAACCGGCATATAAATATCGTTGTGTTTCTTTGTTTTCGTTGTTTTATTTATTTCTTATTTTATTTATTTAAATTTTGATTTTTTCACTAATTTATTTGTATTTTTTGTTTGTATTTTGATAATCGTCTCGTAAATCCAATTCACAATTTCGTTCAATTTTTAATGCATTTAAGTAACGCGTCGGCTGCTACTAAATAATATCTAAGCAATAAAATTAACATTTTTTAATATCAATTGATTTATTGATTGCGTTTGATTAATGAAGCACGACGCACACGGATACACACATACACAAAGTATAAAAACGATCCATGCTAAATTATTGTCTTTGTTTTTTTTTTTTTAATTTTGTATAAGTTTGTATCCGTTGTCTTCACAGCTTTTTACATATGTTTGCAAAATTTGGGATTTTCTCACTTCTAATATTTGTTTTGTTTCTATTATTACTTTTAGTTTTATTTTATACGTTTTTGTTGCACCCACTTGGCAATTGTTATTGTTGTAGTTTTGCACTGCTTGAAACCGGTTTTTGGCTTGGCTAGTCGACGTCGTGCACCTTAGCGCCTTAGCACATAAATTGCATTTTATTTTTAAAACCCGGTAATAAATTGTTTCATTTATAATTAGAATTTTTTACAAACTGACACGAAAATTTTAATAACAACACCAACAAAAATAAAAGATAAATAAATAAAAAAAAATATGTGTGTGTAAAACGTGAAATCGAAAATCTCATTGGGGTGCCTCATATGTAGCTCTGTCTGTTGTCGCTGCTGACCTTCGCATAGTTGTTGCAGGAGCTGTCGCTGTCGCGGTCGTCATCGCAGTGAGCGCATTATTAGCTCGATTACCTAACAACAAAAACAATGCAACTGTCGCTGTCGGTGCTGCGGCTACAGCTGCGGCTACAGCCGCTGCTATAGCTGTTGGCGTCGACGCTGGACTTGGCACCAAAACGTAACACGCGACGGCGTAGTGCATGTGGAAATCTTAAAGCGCATTACGTTATTACGTTATTTACTACACAACGACTTAACGAAAGAAAAAAGAAAAAAAAACTTTGCGTGTGTCTGTCAAGCAGCAAGCAGGCAACAACAATGGCACAGGCATTACAGTTACAAAATGAAACCGAAACTATGCGATGCCAGAGCAAAGAAAAAGCAAAAGCAAAACAGTAGCAGCAGCACAGCAACGCCCCAATGAGACACCAGCAACAGCAGCGCCAACAGAAGCGGCATCCAATGCAGCTGGTGCTCACTCACTCATTCACTCTCACTCTCACTCTTACTCTCTGACTCGCACACTCGCAGCATGCTGCTGCAGCTTTTCAAGTCCAACGAAAGTGAAATTACTATTTCTCTGCTCTTCTGGCTGCCGCTCAGTGTGTCTTTGTATTTCTTTTCTTTTTTTGGTTGAGGAAATGAAGTAAACATGGAATTGACATAATCAAGACGCGGCGCGGACTGCAAATGCTTTAAAAGCTCTGTCGACGTCGCCTTGCTGAATGCGTTACAGGTTTTTGTGTCGTGCCGCTGCTGCTTTTGCTTTCTGTTTGCTTTTGCTTTCTGTTTGTTGTTGCTGTGTGTGTTCAATGAGCGCTGGTGCGTGTAAATATGTAAGAGTCGCCTTCAACCGGCTTTTTTGCGATATTTTTTTTGTTTGTGTGCCTAGTTTTTGGCGTTTTTGCTTTGCTGCGCTTTTTGCGCTGGTCAGTTTTGGCGTGGGTCAGTTACATGTGTCCGCACAGCACATAGGAAATAAACAGCAGATGAAGTAATATCGACAGAAACATTACAGCAGCAGCACTAGCTGCGACTGCAGCAACGCACCTTAAGAAATTGTCGTAACCAAAAAACGCAGCAGCTACAACAATAGCGATAAATGGGCGTCTGTCGTCAGTATACACTTGATGCATATATGCATAGACACAGCCACAGACATCACACTGAGAGCGATAAAACGGTAAAGTCTACAATAGAAACTCCAACAAAAGAGCGCACACACAAAGGCAAAGGGAAAACGTGCATAATACGCTGTGCAAGTAGAGCGAGAGCGAAAGAGACAGCCACATGCATAGGAGCAGACAGAAGCTACAAAGTTCTCGCGCTAACTCTGAATGTTTCTCTATTCGTTGCTGGTGTCTATGAGTTTTTAATTTGTTATTTTAAATTTTTTTTTTTTTTTTTTTTTTTTATTGGCATAGCTTTTCGTAATGCCTAAATAGAATAAATAAACGATGAGTCGCTATTGAATTTTAATTTTATTTAGTGGGAAATTTTATGACAAGTTTTGTTTTGTTTTGTTTATTTTTTTTTTTTTTTCTCTTTTTGTATTTTATGATAATTTAGCCACTTTTTATAACAACATCTTTATGTTTCTTATTATAATTTGCGCAACTTTTGTAAATTTGTAAATTACAACACACTAGCAAAAGCATTTGCTGTTTTTTTTTTCCACTATTACGTCAAAGATTTGCTCACTTTTTTATTAGCTCTGATTATGTGTAATTTAATTTTATTGGCGTTAATTGCTTTTGCACACTTTTTTTTTGCCCAATTTTCACGAAGATATCACATTTTTTGTACAAAGGAAGACGACAACAAAGCATAGCTATGAATTACTAGAAAGAGGAGCAGGCCAAGTACCGTTATAGTTTTATCTTTGCTGTTCGTCAAATTAAAAAATATTTAGCTAGATTTTATTTTCGATTTTTAGGTTTAGGTTTAGTTTTATTTTTATTTATTTTTTGGTTTGCTGATTTGAATTTAGCTAAGCGCCCGGCGCATGGCACAAAACACAAAAGCATAAAACAAACCAAAAACGAAATGAGCACAGTTTTTTTTTTTTTTTTTGATTGTACGTGTTTTTGTTGGTTAATGCGCCTGCGCGCAACGTTCGCGTCTTTTTACTATTTACTTGCGCCGTCGCGTCCGCATCAAACGCCTGTCGTTGGCAAACTGAGCGTCGTTAAGTGCTGAGCGCAAGACAAAATACACACAGAGAGCGAGAGAGAGAGAGAGAGAGGAGAGCGCCAAAAAGCTTTTGACGCCACAGTAAAGCTTTTTAGCACAGTGAGTGTGAATTTATGCTCTAATAAAATTCATCAGGCACGAGGGCTAAACTCCTGCTGCTGACGAAGGTGGACCTTGTCAGGCCATTAAACGAATGCAAGGAATGTGAATAAAAACTCGCTCACTTTGAGACGACCTCACAAACAAATCAAATTTAATAAGCAAGTCAAGAATTTGTATTAATCAATAAAAGGTAAATAAAAAGCACAGCTGCTGTCACACGAAAATTAAAAATATCTATATACAAATAATTATATGTACATATACATATACATATATTTATAACTGACAGGTTGGTAACATCTGCTAATTGAATTAGCATCGAAATGAACGAAGCTTGTGCATTGCATATAATTAATATTTAATTTACTAATTGAATTTTTACTGCCGACTACCGTGCTGCAGCCTCTTTGATCTTAACACTGCTGTATGTATAAATACGCACATATATATGTATGTTTATGTCGTTAAAGATCTTGACTGTTGCAAATTTGGCAGGCAAACACAAAACCAGGCAGAACCACTCAGAAGAGTTAATCATAGTTGTACACAGTTAGACGTATGTAGAGGTAAAGCTTGAGGTAGACGCATGATGCAATTTTTATGATGTGCCAAATTAGCCATAAAATACACACTCAGATATGTATGTGTAAACAATTCACAATCTATATTATATAAGCACATAAAGTCCAACAGCGTTTATGCTTACTTAAATTGTTAATATTAACACACAAATAACAGTTAGTTTTATGGGCAGAATGTGTAAGCATTAATTTTTTAGTTTATGTACCAATATAAAAAATTATAAAGACTAAGTCCTATCTACACAAATTTAATTACAACATTTTTTTATATATTTTTGAAATTAATTTAAATTTAAAAAAAATCTTTATCAACTATTTCTTAAAAATATTATATGTATGTGTTTATATTTTTTACCCAAACTATAACAAAAATATTTGTGTAAATTAGACAAAACAAAATGATTTAAATTTAAACAAAATATACCCTATCAAAATATTGATATATCTATATATTTATGTTTGTTTATAATTCTAGCTATTTAAGTTTTTTTTTTTTTTTTCAATTTATAATGCATTTTGGGTTTATGGTCCTAATTATCTATATTGTTTATATATTTCTATCAACATCTCCATCTATATATAATACTAATTTTGTAAGTCTCAGAGACCATAGTTTTCCGTTTCAAACTCGTTTTCCGTTAAGATTTCAAGATCGAAATTCATGTCTAAAACCAAAATTTATGATCACGTTCGCTCTCTTCAAGCACTTAAAAGTTTATTTATATAAAAAGAACTATGTAAATTATCGATTATAAAAAAGTATCGATTGCCTGGCATTATCAAGTTCGTTGCCTAAGTCTTTTGTTTTAGCGCTATTTTAATGCTAAATTATGGCCTTGCCGACAGCTGGCATCAAAACTTATTGAACTTCAATAATCAACGACAGCCCAAAACTACAATAACAACAACAAGCTTAGCACAAAATAATTTAACTAAATTGGCGCGCAAGGTCGTCCACGGTCAGTGACTGAAGAAGAAGAAGCAGATGCAGCAGATGAGCCAACTGGATGAACTGGACTTGAAACTGAAATTGGGACCAGTTGCCGGTTAAAATGCCCTTTTTTGACAAGTTATTTTGTGCAGGCAATAAAAAAAGCGCCAAAAATGAATCAACCAAAAATTTAACAATAAAATACTACAAAATTACTACAACAACAACAAGAAAAATTAACTACCGGCTACCGGAGATTTAATGAAAATATAAAATCAAGAATCAAATGCCATACGGATGTGTCGCCAGCGACTCGGAATGCTCACAAAACATGCCGAGGACGGTCAATGGTCTTAACTAAACCAAAAAAAGAACAAAAAAAACAATAACAATATATAAGTTTATATATATGTACATATATAACTATAGTGTTAAAAGTACACATCAAGCGACGTGTTTTATTTCAGAATTCAAAACACGCGCCAACTGCTGCTTTGGAATTTTATTCAGAAGTCAAACTCAATGTGATTCATAACTCAAAGAAACAGAGCAAAGCCAAGTCAAAGAAGAAGAAGAACTATATATAATACATATCTGTACATATATATAAAAAGGGAAAGGGAATCTCAAGCTTATGCACTTCGCTCAAGTTCAAGGTGAAAGACAATTTAAATCAAGTTGCGATTCGAGTTGAGTAGAGTCAGTGGGGCATTGGGAAAGGGGCAACATGTAATTATGCTAATAAGTGTTATATATTTTCTTATGCTGAAAGTCAATTGTAATTTAATTGTGATTTAATAATTGAAGTCAACTGGTTGTTAATGACATAACCGATAAATAAAAGCAGTTCAGCTGGCATAACGAGTTGGGAATTCCCAGATAATAAACCAAAGCTAAAATGCATGTATGATTAAATCAGTTGAACTTTTTTATATATTCTATATAATAATAAAAGAAATACAAAGCTTTACTCCGGAATTTTAATGGGTGGTTCATTACGTAAATCTAAAATTAATAATAAAATTTGCATCTCTTGGTAAAACTCTTCCTCATAATTGAGAATAATATTTCGTATAATAAGTTTATAGATATAAGCACAATTATTATCAAATCGTCTTGATTTATTATGAATCAAAATATTATAATACTTTCAAAAATAAATAATTTAAGCTGAGGAGCATTCGTATTTACATAATTTATTATTATTTAAATTTGATTTTATGAATCATAATGAATTTTATTTATTTTATATATTTATTTATTTTTATTTTATTTATTTATTTTTTTTTTTTAGTTATTCATTTAATTTTTTTTTTTATTATTAGTTTTTATTTTTTTTTTTATTATTATTATTTTTTTTTTTTTTTATTATTATTATTATTTTTTTTTTTTTTTTTTTTTTTTGTATAATATGAATATTTTATTTACCTTCATTTCATTTATATTTATTTATTTCTTTTTTTTTTTGGTTTTTTTTTTTTTTTTGTTTGTTTTTTTTTTTTTTTTTTTATATAAACTCAATATTTTATATATTTAAATTATATTTTATGAATCAGAATTATAATGATACATTCTTTAGTTTGCTTTAGTTTTTTTTTTTTTTTTTTTTTTTTTTTTTTTTTATTTATTCACATTTTCAATAATTCCCATCGTTACAAATTTAAGCTTTAGCTTGTAAATTTGCTTAACCCACTTGAATGTTGCATAATTATAGCTCTCTGGATGCTGAGCGGCTGCGCCAAGCACAAGTTCTTCCCATATACATTGTTAGCTACTGCTTCTACTTTGAATATATATTTACCTATTCATATATACATATAAATACATGTATATTTAATGATCGCTTGGGCCATCTCACTCACACTAATGGTCTCTAATATGCCCACTAATTACAGCGATTACACAAAAGGCAACCCAAATGGCTTCCTCATGTCGAGAGTTCTATGCAGCAGCTACGTTCGAGTCGACTGACACAGATTAGTTATGGCTATGCGCAAGCGTTCAAGTTTCCCCCTGCGGGTTCAAGAACTTAACTAACTAACGATTCTATTAAAACATTATAAACTGGATAGCAATAGTCACACACATACATATATACAAATATATTATATGGACACATGGAACACTAAACAATGACAATAGCTCAGTGAGTTCTGTGGTTTTTGCTTTTCAATTAGTGATGAGAGCGTGATCTAAGAAGTTGAATGGTATATTAGCTTTTTCACAGATGGATTTTAGGTCATTATAACTAAGGGGCATTTTATCGATATTAGAATAAAAAATAAAGTACAATATATAAACTAATAAGATAAGAGAGGAGATAATATTAATTTTAACTGTCTTCGAAGCCCTCTGGCTAGCGAGATCTGTATTGAATTTCTATATAATTATTTCACATTTCTTTTATTTTCATTTGCTTGGTTTTTCTTAGCTACAATTGACTTTATTTTTTTTATATTTTTTATCATATCTATTAATTTTATTTATTATATTTTAGTTTTTTTTTTTAGTTTTTTTTTTTTAATTTTTAATATTTTTTAGTAAGTATTATTTTCTTCAATTTAATTTATTTTTTTCTTGGCAAATAATTAAAAATTGAATAAAATAAGTTTATACATCAAAGAGAAATATATAAACATTAAAAAAAATTAACTATAAGTAATATATATAGACATTTCAAGAAGTGACTAAGTAACGACTATTCCATGTGGACTCTCAAATGATTAAGCTCTCTTTATCAGAGCTTTCGTGTCACGCACGTGTCATCGCCAACAGATAGCTTGACGGGAGCTAATTGCTCAGGCAGGTGAGGATTTGCTGTTCACTGAGGCGTTCATTAGGCTGCCTCTTTATTTTTTCCTCTTTAGATTTTCCTTTCGTTTCGATGTTTTATTGTTAATGTGTGCGCTTAACGTCGCGCCAACTACAAATTAAAACTAATAATAAATGTGCAAAAAAAAAAAAGAACAAAACAAAAAATTACTGTGTGAAACTTGAGTGCGCCCCCAAACCGACGTATTATAATTATAATAATAATAATAATTACAATGTGCGGCCGGGCGTGGATACCTAATACTAGAACTGAGCACCGCGTCTCGACCTCAACTCCAATCAATGTGTCTGTGTGTGTTCGTGTGCGTGTGCTGCGCGCTGCTAATTAAAACATTATTTTCAGCTGCCACTAACCATGCCCCGAGGCTGAGTTTTTGCATGCGGC